GCGCCCTGCGCCCGCGCCCCGCCGCCGGCTCGGGCTCCGGCTCTGGCTCTGAGCGCCGCGCGGGCTGCGCGCGGGGGCCGCGGCCGGGAGGCGGGGACACGGCCGGGCGGCGGCCGACGCAATCTGCCCAGGAAATGGGTGGATTTTTCCTCTCCGCTCCGGCTCCCCGCCGCCCCCTGGCTGCTGGCAGCGAGGCCTGCAAACCCCAGTCGCCAAGGGGTTGAGATGGGTGTACAGGGAGGAAAGCTGACCACCGCCCCCAAGTCCTAAAATCCGCGTGGGCCTCGCGGCCTGACTGTCCGGATGGGTTGCGCCGCTGCTACCCTCCCTGCCGGCTGAGTCAGGCCTGGGCACCCCTCTGGGACCACCCCCACCAGAGCCCGCGGTCAGCCCTGGCTGCCCAGGACGTACTTGGGGGTGGCTCCACGCTCCCCAGGCCAGCCCTGCCACCCCCCTGAAGCTGGGAGGGGGGGTCTCCAGCCCCAGCGCTGGGGAGAAGGAAAGAGGTGTAAAGGGGAGGGCTCTCTGGGAGCCGGGGGGCCAGGTGCTCTAATGCCTCTGGGAAGAAAGGAGTCTCCTGGCAGTTGCCGGCACCCACCAGTATGGGCTCCTGGGTGTGGGTGGGAACAGTCTGTGGATGCAGGAGGGGTGCGGGCCCAGCTTGCAGGGCAGGAGCTGGGTGCAGGTTTGGGGCATCTGGGCAGGAGAGTGAAAGGTGCCCCGCCCATGAGGAGCATGGCCCTAGGTGGGGCCTTGGGGTCTGTGGTTGGGGGGCAAGAGTGGTGGTCCCAAGCCCTGGTGCCCAGGTAGAGGGGCAGGGGCAGGGCAGTCTGGCACAAGACCCCAACCCCCTGCAGCGTCACGCCAAGACACGTGCGAGTCTCTCCGGAAGCTCGGGGCTGACTGGGTCGAACACCTTAATAGGGCTTTAGCATTTGCAGGAGGCTTCTAGGGGATGAAAGGCACATCCTCCAGTCACTCCCATTAAGCATTCCCAGCCATTTGGGAAGAGAAGAATTCCCCAGGTCACTCACTACACTCTCTTCTGACTGGGTGAGAATAAATCTCCCTTCCCCAACAGGGATTGCAAGGAGCCAGCCTTCCTGGGGCCCACCAAAGATGGACACCGCGTTCCTGGGGCTTCACTCTGCTCCGTCCCCTTTCAGAGAGGGGACTTGATTACAGCCAGGGCCGTCCTGGCCTGAGTGTTGGGTGTGAGACCCTGCTGAAGGGTTTCCTGATTGGTTTCCCTGACGATCGCAAGGGAGTGCAGGTGGCCAGTTCCAACCATTGGGGAAGGGCGCCATCTCCCAGTGTGTGCTGGTACTGCAGGCTCTGCTAAGCACCCACCGAGTCCAGGTCACACCAGGTCACACAAGACGGGCGCTGGAGGCAGCATTCACGCGGCTACCCGCGGTCCGCCTCCTTCCTCTGCCAGCACACAATGAACAGATTCAGGGCCCAAATCACTCACTCAAATCCCACTGCAGACTGTGGCCACTTACTTGGTGGGACGAATTTCAAATCGAACCCAATCTACAACTCTCAGGACCTCCATCTGGAAGCCGCAGGTACTTGCTTATTACCTACTAGTGCAAGATGGGGGGTACAGTGTGCTGCAGACTGACCTGGGGGCGAGGCCCAGACAGAAACAGCACCGACGCGGGAGCAGGTCCCCGGCATTGCAACCAAGTACACGCCCTGGCCAGAGAGGGGCATCGCTGATGAGCCACTCAGCACCGAGAATGCAGACTCAGGGCAGACAGCCTGCCACCGGCTGGGAGACTCTGGCCAGGGCATTAGCCCTTCTGTGCCTGTTTCCCCATCTATGAAATGGGTTCAGTAATAGTAATCGCCACCTTTCTCTGCACGGTATCGTGAAGATTGGACGGTTAGTGCAGGTGCAGGCTTGGTGACCACTAAGAGTATCCTGCTTTGCACAAGACAAAGCCTACTCAGGAGGCCCCTCCACTGAGCGACCAGGGTTTAAGTGAACGGCAGAGCTGGGATGTGCCCCCCCACGCAGAGACCTCGGCCACCCCTCGTGAGAGCCACTGCTGGTGATCCCGACACACAGATGCTGAAGAGGTATTGCTGGACACGAAAACCATCCCCACCAAACAGAGCCATGTTCTAGGGAGAGGACACTCCTGATGGGCACATATGAAGAATCAGACCAAAAAAAAAAAACCTCCTGATTTTGAAGAACATCTGATTTCACTTTATGTCAGTAATGTCCCATAAGGATTTACAGTTGGTACTCTAAATCTGAAGAGCGCCAACTTGGCCAGGCTCCTCCACAGAGAAACCAGAGCCCAGGTAGTTGGAGATGGTGGAGCTGATGCTCCATCCAAGGACCGCTGGGCGGCTTTGCTCGCTCGCCCGGGACTCCCTCTGACCCCGGGCACAGCCTGGGAGTGCCCTGGGGATGTGAAGCCCCCTCTGCAGTCACGCTGGGGAGCCGGGAGGGTTTCTGGCACCCCCCAAGGCATGGCTGAGAGGCTGTCTTTTACACGTGTGGCTCTGGGTTACTCCCAGCCGGTTTGCCACATGAGGACAGTGCCTCAGAATTCCTGCAGCTGCCCGGGAGCAAAGCTGACCCTGGGACGTCGGGGATTTGAGAAAGACTTGGGGGGAAAGCCAGCTCACACCCAGCCCCTCCTCACCACCTCTTCCTTCCTGTCAGTGTTTATAAAGAAGTGGACAGAGGCACCCTTCACATCCCTCCCTCCCAGAGGGCGTGTGTAGACAGAACAGGGGTGTGCAGTAGGTACAGCCCTCCTCCTGACCCACGGGCAGCCTGCACCCCTGCCGCCCTGCCATGCACCCGAACCACCCTGCCCTACTCCCCTGACCCCCTGTCCTGCACCCCTGCACTGCACCCCTCTCCCTGCCCTGCACCCCTGCCCCCCATCCTGCTCCCCTACCCTGCACCCCTGCTGCCCTGCCATGTACCCCTGCTGCCCTGCCCTACTCCCCTGAGACCCTGTCTTGTATCCCTTCCCCCTGCCCTGCACCCCTGCCACCCTGCCCTGCATCCCTGCCCCCTGCCCCTCGTCCTTGCCCCCCGCCCTGCACCCCTGCCACCCTGTCATGCACCCCAGCCACTCTGCCTTGCTCCCCTGACCCCCTGTCCTGCACCCCTGCTGCCCTGCCCTGCATCCCTGCCCCCCTGCCCTGCACCCCTGCTGCCTTGCCCTGCACCCCTACCGCCTTGGCATACACCCGTGCCTCCTTGTCCTGCACCCCTCCTCTGACAAGCTGGAGGTTGGAGGGAAGTCACCTCCGACTCATCCAATCCCAAACCAGAGTCCTCTCCAGTGACTGGAATCCATGAGTCAGTAGGAAAGACTACCGTTTTTAATGCATTTGAAAGGGTCATCCGAGAAGCCTCAAGCAAGTGTAATTTGATTTAGAAGGCTACACAGTATTTCCCAGAGCAAACTATGAATTGTCGAAGAATGAGGCATTTGGATTAAAGATCCTTGGCTTCGGCCAACCCCAAATGTTCCTGAGGAGGAACTTAAATCCCAATTTCCACACAGCTTCCCTTGAAGCAAGGGCTCACTTACATTCACAACTCAGAATAGCCACGTAACCCTGACTGAGCCAGCGCCATGCTCTAGACACTCTCACCCTAGGTGCCTGACGTCCCTTAATTGTTGCGGACGCCCCTGGGTGATGCTCTTGCTGTGTCGGGCTCAGAAAGATGACGAGACCTGTCCAGGGTCATCTGGGGTGCCAGCCATTCCCAGGACCAAGCTCAAAAACGTGGTGGCCCTCGGCCCGACGGATATCACGGTGTCTGCCCCCGTTGTGTGACAAAGCAGCATCGACGGATGGCCTCTAAGCCACAGGCTGAGGCTCACAGCGGTGGAGGCTGGGAGTCCGAGAGCAAGGCAATGGTGGGGGAGGAAGAGGGGAGACAGACGTGGGAGAGGAAGGGAGGGGGTCTGCACACAGCTCTTCTGCTCCTTCCAGGCTGTATGTGCCCTGGCCACTCACTTTCCTGCTGGGGAAGAACAGCCCTGCAGCAGGGAAAGGGTCTCGTCTGGAGCCGGGCACATTGGGAGGACCCCACAGGTGACCTGAACCCCCTCTCCCAGCAGCCACGGAAGACCACCATGGGCAGCCCCATCCAAGCATCATCCCCTTATCCCGCCCCCTCCACGGCCTCTGGGTTTACCCCAGGTGGAGGGCGGTGGACGGGGTTACTGCTCCTCACAACCACTCCAGAGGGGGTTTCCTCTTGGCCCAGCCCCGGGCACTTGCCGGGCCCTCTGTGGTGGAGAGACTCCCAGCACCGCCGCTGTGGGGCCGGGCCGTGTGCAAGGGCCAGGCATGCGCTGTGCTGAGGGCACTCTGCTCTCTGCCAGACCACCGGGAGAGCATGTCCGGAGAGGGGCTCAGAAGACCCAGGCCAGGGCTCCGCCAGCCTGCTACGAGCCTGCCCCAGACATGCTTGGTCGTCCTGGGTGCCGCTGCGGTTGGAAGTTGTTAGCCCAGCTGCAGAGAGCCGGCCCGTCCTGGTGCCGAACCTCCTCCCAGGCCACTTCCTTCCGCCGGCCACGCAGGGTCAAGCTCCTCTGAGGTGTTGGGACTCACGGTGTCTATTCCAGTCCCCGGGGGACAGTGCTCTGGGACCCACAGCCGTCCCCAGGCCTGCTTCTTCCCTGAGCCACGATGCCCCCTTCCAGCCCTCAGTCCTCATTCTCTGTCCATCCAGAGAGCTGGCTGCCCTTGGCGCCTCCCTGTTGCCCCCCACACTCTCTGCTCCTGCTCCGGA